CCCAAGCTCCCAAAGTCCCAAACTCTCAAGGTTCCATATTTCCAAAGATCTGAGCTTTCAAGGTTCCAAGCTCTCAAGGTCCATAACCTCAAAATTTCACATTCTCAAGGTTCCATAATCCTAAAGTTCTAAATCCTCAAAATCCCAAGCTCTCAAGGTTCCAAATTCTCGACGTCCCAAGCACCCAAAGTCCCAAACTCTCAAGGTTCCATATTTCCAAAGTTCTGAACTTTCAAGGTCCAATATTCTCAAGGTTCCAAGCTCTCAAGGTTCATAACACTTAAAATTTCACATTCTCAAGGTTCCATAATCCTAGAGTCCTAAATCCCCAAAATCCCAAGCTCTCAAGGTTCCAAATTCTCGACGTCCCAAGCACCCAAAGTCCCAAACTCTCAAGGTTCCATATTTCCAAAGTTCTGAACTTTCAAGGTCCAATATTCTCAAGGTTCCAAGCTCTCAAGGTTCATAACACATAAAATTTCACATTCTCAAGGTTCCATAATCCTAGAATCCTAAATCCCCAAAATCCGAAGCTCTCAAGGTTCCAAATTCTCAACAACCCAATCACCTCAAGTCCCAAACTCTCAAGGTTCCATATTTCCAAAGTTCTGACCTCTCAAGGTTCATAATCTCAAAATTTCACATTCTCAAGGTTCCATAATCCTAAAGTCCTAAATCCCCAAAATCCCAAGCTCTCAAGGTTCCAAATTCTCAACGTTCCAAGTACCCAAAGTCCCAAACTCTCAAGGTTCCATATTTCTAAAGTTCTGACCTCTCAAGGTCGCATATTCTCACGGTTCCGACTTTCCAAAGTCCCCAATCTTCTGAAATTCCCAAGTTCTCAAAATCCCACTCTGAAGTCCCAAAATACCCTCAAAATCCCACACTCTGAAGTCTCCAAATTCCCAAAATCCTCCTAACTCTCCAAATTCCGAAAGATGCCCCAAAAACTCGCATACCTTCAACCAACTTTCGCCAAAAGCTGTCCTCCCTTACCAATTACAATAAAAACGCGTAGACACAATGGAATTTGACGCTCGATCACGATTAATTTTATCGTCGAATAGTTTCTCTTTGTAATATCCCCTATTTAAAGTAGAAAATCAAAGTTGATTTAATATCACTCTTGTAAATTGTAACAGAATGGCGTTAATTCCGATTGAAATTGGGAAATATACGGGAACCATATTGAAATCGATGCAAAATGTTCCATTGTCATGCACGATTATTAATACCGGCATCGTGTTCGTTAATTAAGTACCCCTTTGAACTCGCGATATATCTTTATCTGCGAGCAAACCTTTCGTTCCGGACAAAGGGATTAAGCCGAAAATCGGATGAGGCCGAGTTCGAGTAACGGATGTAACAGGCTGAAGGATATCAAACTCTGATAATGAACGATTCCTTTGATGAATAGAAAACAGCTACACCTGTAAACTGTAACGATGGTTAATTAACAATCGGAGTTGGAATACTTCGTTTTTTTGCTTCATGTTTGTTTTAGCTAACGAATTTTTTACTGAAAGGCAGAGCTCTAACGAACATTTTTAATTGCTTGTTATATTTGTGTATTATTTTTTATTATTGGTTAAGGTGATTATATTGTGGAAGTACTGTCAATATTTTTATAGTGAATATTGATCATTTTCATGCATTAAAAAAATGTATTTAAAATGTAGTATTACGTCATGCATTAAAAATTGTATTTTTTTTTAAATTGAATTTAAAAAAAAAATTTATAAGCATCCAATTTTTTAAATATTTAATTCCATTTTGAATTTATTACTAAATATTTTTAATTTATATACGATTTTTTATTTTTACTCTTTCTATATTTATTGTAATAAAAAAATTTTAACAATTGTTTTGATTAAAATGTGTTCTCCAAGTGATTCAAATCAGCGCCATCTTCCTCTCCCGCGCGTGGATCTGACGGTTGCAGCAGCATCCCGGTGAGTCCTTTTTTGTATTAAAAAAGCAGGAAAAAACACAAAAATAGCGAAGTACAAAATGGACATGTATTTCGATTATTTCGTGAGTTACAAAAAGTTTACATTCATGGCAATTCCGTTAAATTATCTCGTGTATAAATATAATGTATATTGCTACCATAAGCAACGGTTTGCTAAAATATAAATTTACGATATTTTCTGAAATTTTTAGGAGATTTTCTAATAAAATTGTTTTTTGTAAATATTTTATAATGATTTTTTGTTAAATGATTTTTGCAACAATTGGATCAAGCTTATGCTACTAATATGCATGTATAAATTATTAATAAGCTTCAAGTATCATTTGATGTCTTGCACGCATTTTTTTATCACTAATTGTGATTATACTTTCGACTAGAAGCATAAGAATGTTAACAATTAATGAAGAATGTTAAAAAATATACGAGAAATGTGTTTAGTATTATAAAAGTACATTTGCCAGTTATACTGTTTAATTTACTAAATTAATTGGCAGCATCCTGCAAATATTTCCTATATCAAATTAATTATTCTCATAAACATTAGAGAAACTTTTAATGATAGACTTTTCGATGAAAATAATTAGAAGTTTGTGTTATAAACATTTTTTGTTTAATAAAATATTTATTTTTTTCTTTCGATAAAATGTTTACTTATAATGCGATAATTGATCGTATAACATAAAAATATAAATTATAGTTTAAATGACTAAGTCTATTCGTCATTCATAAAAAGTTTTGGTAAAAAAAGTCTGTTATTATAAGTTTCCGCAATTGTTTCATGGTAATACGTATAAATTACTATTTGATTGGAAAATCACAGCTCTCTTAACTGCTAGATACATAAATAGACATTTAACTTTGATATATTTAGGCTGTATATCGTGCATTGTAATGCAAAATATAGACACAGCTTGAAATTGCGTTTCATATAAGTTATTATATGTAATTGGAAATAATACTTATCTACGTAATTATTAAAGCAGTAGTCACATAAAAAATTAGTGTCATGATTTTAATATTGACATTTTTACTTAACCTCGTTAAGTTCTGCACATGTTACATGAATTTTAGTCAAAAGCATATAAAAACTATGGTCAATGAAACCTTTATCATATGAAATAATAGTTTTATTTCATCAATTATCGAAAGAAGTCTTCTTGCAATTAATTGTCTTTTATTTTATTTAAAGGACTAGTTGTAATTATTCTTAGTTAATACTCTAGTCTTTCTTTATATACTGATATAGCATTCAATTAAATTACCTAAGATATTCTGTATATCAGCAGACAAAAATACTCTATTGCTATGAAATATGGGTAAATATAAATATAATGTATATGTATATTATAAAAAGTATATGCTGGTAATGTGAAAGTTCAATATTTCTGTCAATGATCTTTGGTAACTTTTAAATAGCAGCAAATTCAGTCATTTTACCAGCGTGGTGATATTGATGGTACGCTTTGTTGGTTCATTAATGAAGGTCCACTGCATAATAATGTAGAAAGTTTTATAATAAGAATACTAAAGTAACATAATTAGTTTTAAGCAGTTTTTACTTACCTCCAAGCAATAAGAGGAGCAAGTCTTTCTGTTAATCTTTGGTAGTTTCTCTCTAATTCTCGCTGATAGTCTCTTTGATCTGGCCCAATTAAATTTTTGTTTCTTCTCAAAGCATCCAGACATTTCTTTGAGAAATCCTTGAAACATAAGCGCAATTTGTGCTGCAACCTTGTGGGTTGTGCATTTTGTTCCCTTAATCCAGAAAGGAATACTACTGCAACCTCTGCTGGCCCTTGGTTCACTGTTGTTCCAATGCAACCTTGTAGAACCATTTGCAATATTTTTGCATCGGGTGGTTCTTGTGCTGTAGCAGCAGCAACCTAGAAAAATTCAAGCAATTAAAATAAAAGTATCAAGATGAAGTTTGTTTATTTCCAAGTTACTCTTACTTCTGCAGTCTTCTTTTGTATATCTTCAATAGCAACCTCAATTGGACTTAGAACTATTTGCTTTCTGGCAACTACCCGGATTCTTGTTTTCAGATAAGGGAAATGTGTGGCCACTGTTAATATTGTTTTACGTTTGCATTGCTCCCTTAACTCTCCATGTGCTTTACCACCAGGTGTAAAAGGTGTTGCATACACAAATCGCTCTAGACAAAATTAAAAATAGTAATAGAAATGCATAAAATATTTTAACATTGTTTACTAAAATTGTTACTCACTGATATTAAAATTCCTATGAAAAATAGTAGGCCTATGCCTGAGTTCATGTGGCTCAAAATAAGGTTCAACATAAGTAATTTGAACATAGGCTTTATCTGGTTCCAATTTACTAGGGTCTACTGGGTTCGAATCTTTTATTATCACAATGTTCTCAGCGCCAAATCTTTCAGCATAGAAATTCTCAAGTCTCGAAAATATTTCTGGTAGCTTGGTTAAAGTAGGTTCTTTGTAAACAAATTCCTCGCCAGCAAGATCTCCAAATCGTCCGCCATAAAAACCCACTCTGAAATACGTACCAAATACCCGTTTTCCTGCTAATTGTTCCACTCGAGTATATGCTTCATGCAACTTCCTGCAATATAAAAAAATGAAACCATGAATACCAAATTATTTGATATTAAGACAAATGAAACGTACCCATGAATGTTAGCTAGTTTCTTATAATCATGAGCTGCTTCTGCAATTGGAAGCAACACTCTGTATACATCAGGGATGGCTTCATACATTCCAGCTGCATGGAAAGAACTGGCAGCGTGTTCCAATAAACCTGCTAAGCCACTTTCTGAGAAATCTGGACCCAAACACAGACCTTCCTCCCTTCTAGCTAATACATCATCACCAACAGCACTTTCCTCCAAGGCATTTGGAGTAACAGGAGCTAAAGCAACAGCTCCTACTGGTCTTCCACCACCTCCTGGTTCCAAAAGGTGTAAATATTCTGCCACTAAAGCGGCACTATGGACCAAACACATGGCAGCTTCTGTATGATTCTTTCTTTCCATGTGTTGTTGGGCCATATTTGCCAGCCACGTAAGCCTTAGATCTGGTGAACCCTGATATCCCTTAGCAATTCTATAGAATAAATGTTTGATATTGAGTTTAGTTGGTTCTGTAGTTGGTCGATATTCTTCTTTATTTACCTGTACATGAGATCCAACAGCATTTCTGGATCCTCTTGAAATTCTTTCATCTTGACAGTGTCAGAGAGGATCATATGTAGATTGAACAGAAGATCTTTTACTTGTTCCGGAAAACTTGTGTCTGCCAATTCTGTGTCTCTCTCAGCGTAGACCAGCACTGTCTTTAATGCTCTTCTCAGTGCTCCTTCACTGGGAGCTCTTCCTCTTCCAACAAGAGCTGACAAGGATGTCGTGACTTGCATCTTGACTCTTGCAAAATTCTGTAATAATATATGAAGTTAAAAATGGAATATGTGGTAGGCATTTCTGAAATACTTACATTGCCAATTTCAAAGTTTTGACGCATCAGTAAATAAAGACTGGCAGCAGCATGGCTACGAACAGCACTTAAGGGGGAACTACACCTAGTGAGTAATGTTAAACACAAATCACCGCATCTTTCACTCTCCTCATCAAATAGAGCACTGTGGTATTTGAATACCAAAGCACGTTGAGTGTTGAACATGTGTTGCAGTACAGATGTACTTTGATTCCTGGCTAATGCCCTTAAGAGTACTTTCAATACTGCTCCTACGACTGCACCTGCAATTTCAAGATTTTATGAATACTATAATTATAAAATAATTCAAGTAAACTTACCTCCTCCACCGTCAGCCTGAACAACTGTTTCTAAAGTATCCAAAACCACCAGAGAGGCTTCAGCTGCTAAGGCACCTTCTATATGAGCATCTTGTTCCACGGCTCTCCCTTCTGACTGTTCGCATGATCTTCAAAAACAGAAAGCAATTACAAATCCGAAAATATTACAGCTCTTCATAAACGTAGAGTAATCTACCTATAAGGCATCTGATCTTTACGCCATCTCAGTTTATCTCCACTCATCCTCTCCTTTCTTCGCAACATCATTTCACTTCTGGCACTTCCTTGACCGAGAATCACATCCTCCAGTCTGGACCGAATATCACTGGTAGCTGCAGCCTGCGGTGGCAGCCTCTTCAGCGCTTTCTTACCCTTATACTCAAAAGCTGCCGTAACAATATTCAGAACCTGAAGAAGGCACAATATACGCCTGGAACTTAACTCTGAACACCACTGCGCTAACGCTGACTGTTCCAAACCCTTGAGAACCCATAGAACACACATCAACAAGTGTCTCGTAGCCTCAGAACTCAAGGAAACTCTGCATTGAGTGCCTGCAGTGTCTGCGGAGACCCCTCCCGCTATGGCCAGAGCCACAGACTGCGTGATGGACCCAGATTCATCAGGGTACACGCTCTTGTCCTTCGAATCCCAATGATAGAGTTGTGGCAGGGCATCCATTATGATGTTCAAAAGCGGCAAATAGAGTGCCGCGACTCTAGCCTTCGCGGCAGGGTCAGAATACCTCGAGTCCACATCATGGCAGGCCATGAGATGGCGGACGGTTCCTATGGCTTTGTTTTGCAGCATGGGATTCGGTATTTCCAAAGTGTTCGACAAGTCGGACAAAACAATGCCCACCATAAAGTGCTGCTGTCGGAATTCCTGACTGAGTTCCGAGAATCTGGCTCGGTCTCCGGGCACTAGAGTAGATATCAAGCTGCCCGAACTGCCCGTCGACGGGCTGGGCGACGCTGGCGCGGATCCTGACGTGTATCCCGTCCCAAAGGGAAGATTCAGCGCCACGTAGTGCTCGTGCGAACACACTGTCCGCACCAGATCGAGCTTCAGCGCATAAAGGGCGGCTGAATCAGGGATGTGCATGGATGCATCCGACAGAGAGCAACACGCTGCCCGCATGAGGGACAAGACGAATCCTCTGTCCATCACGGACAGCAGGTCGGATAGGAAGTTACCGAGACTCGAGATCAGATTGTTGGGTACCCTGTTCTCCTTTCCGCAGCGCGATTTCACCTCCGACGTTAAGGCAGCAGTGAGCGTAGCCACGTCGTCGCAGAACTGGGGAGAGAACCTCGACTTTCGTGGAGCCTCAAGCATATCCATCTCTGCCAGCGTCACGACCATGGAACGAACGATCAGTTCTAAAAAGAACCACGAGTAGGTGACTGCTAATTCTCGTGCCTGACCCGTAGACACAACCCAGTGTAGAGCTAACTCCTCGTGTAGGAGTCTCCTTGTTGGCTGATTGTTTATCGAAGGGGATTCTTGACGCATCGACGCGGTCCGGTCAAGTCCCCGGGAATGCACTTCCATTTCCAGGTCCTCCAGAGGTAGATCAGGGTTGCTTTGAGCTCTGACGATGCCCTGAGTGTGGGTCATCCTTGGCAAGGAGCACTGATAGGCGACGTATGTGGCCAAAAGCGCGTGTCTCCCGTGGGCGTCCAATTGGCCGTCTGGCAAATTGGTGATATTTCGCACCAGGAGACCTATAGCCTCGAAAACCGTGGCTGCCACGTTCAGTGGTTGCGACGGTAATGTCGGAGGGCGTACTAAGAGCGATATTAATTGGTCCAGCAGTTGAGGTAGTGAACGTACTAAAGCAGAATGAGATGCTCTTGCCAATTCCAGCAGGGCTGACTTTATTTCGGACTCCATTCCCGCTTCGCCAATTCGCGGGGGCACTTGGCCGGTCTCCAAGTAGCCGCACAGCGATAAAAATCTGAAAATTTCGTTCCAGCGAATTTGTGCGCATCAGTTATGAAGTGTAAAGTGATCGTACCTATCTATGTATTTATCTTGAGGATGTACGCTGGATACAGGTTCCAGAATCACTGTGAAAACGCCTCTGTGAGCGTCTACCCATCTGGTACCAGGCAGCAGGACATCCGGTGCGATGTACGAGTAATTTGCTGGAGGTGGATCCAACATTGCGGGGAGACTGAACTCTCCAGATTGCAAGTGTCCATCTCTCAAAAGTGGCAACCACTGAACATAGATTAGAAACAATTAATACCGATTTGTAATTAATTTCTTAAAACTTAATTACCGTGTACGCTACAGCAGTCTCGACATTAGGTTGCTCAGCCTTCTTTTGACAACTGATGTGGTAGAACGTGAATAGCAAGTGATGTTTAGCGCTCAAGTCGGCAGGAAGACGAATTTTCACTTCGTCATAGAAGTTTGGGTTCTTGTTATGGTAGGATACAGAAGTGAAGCATTCGTGAGTCATTTCAGGGCAGGATGATCTTCCAAAAATGGCTGTTAGAGCATCAGCTTCTTGTTCACCACCCATCAATTGAATTCTCACAGCGATGTTTCTAGCAGAACCGGTCCTAGAGCTGAAATTTGCTTCCTACGACAAATAACATTCATTTCAAGTAATCAATTACTCTTTATAGAAGTAAGAATTTACCTTTGGGTAGACGTAAAGGAGATTACGATAGGTGAGATCTGGCGAAACAACCTCGCTTGGAAACTCCAGTATCTCTTTAACCGGTCTACTTTTCTCGTCCGGGTATGGTATTAATTTTCTAAGGTCAGGATCCAGACACCTAGGCAGTTCCTCAGGTCTGGGACTGAGGTCCAGTTTCAGAATACCTGGCAGGCATTTTAATCGTTTCAAATTAGAGCCAGGCCTTCGTAGTTCTACTAGAAGTTTGTACAAATCCTCGTCTCTTAGACGTTCGCTCTCTTGCTTAAAGAAACTTGACACGGTCAATGTGATTGGCCTGAAATGAAGTAACATTGTTTAAAAGTACTGGATGATTAAAGTCACATTATTCACCTAAATGTGTCCAGACAGTTAGCAAAATCATCCGGTGACCAACTACGTCTTTTGTCAGAACTCCTTCTTTCCAGTGAGCCTCTTCTAGTTGGTGGTTCTACCTTTTTACGCCATTGTTCCAATCCACCTGATTTCCTGTCCAGAGATCCAGCACTTCCAGTGCTATCCGTGTCCCCGCCTCCTCCTATTACTCCGGAAAGGTGAATAGCAGTCCATGCAAACGGCATTCTATATCGACCCAATCGTTCACATGCAGCTGTTGCTGCTGCTCTCACCTATTTCAATTGTTCTGTTAATTATCTTGTGTCATAATTTAATATCAGAGTGGATCATATAATTACTTTTTCTTTATTCTTATCCTCACGCAAATATGGCTCAGCACATTCTGATATATCACCTTGCAATACCTTCTCAAGTCTGACAACTAAAAATAAATCTGGACTGGGTTTACTGATACTCATCACACAGCTTCTTGCCATGGTACTGGCATCGCTGTATGCAATGTGACTTCCAAGCATCCTTTTCAACCCTTCTGAATTCATGTCTACGTAAAAATTCTCAGACACCTGCAATGTTACAATTGAAGTAACACAATATTTGGGAAACTTTAAAATGTTTGAATACCTTCTTCTTCTCTTTGGCATCGTACAATGCTAGACTTGCAAAAATTGGTTCAACTTCCAACTCTAGTTTCAACTGAAGACATTTCACTAAAATTTTATGGGAAAAAGGTTCTGAAGGTTCTGGTGCTGCACTAATTTCTTGCCATTCATCGTCTGGGGAAGCTGGAGGTGCATAAAGTGGAAACAATGCTTCCTAAAATTAATATTGATAGAAAAGGATCACTAAAACCTGATTATATAGTAAAGTTATTACTCACTTGGCGATCTTCTGATCTCTTCTGCTCATTCATTTGGTCAATAGTTTCTGGACAGACACGGTCCAACAAGCTTGGAAGAAGGGGGTCATGTTGTGAATGTCGCAAATCTAAACTTGCCCAAGATCCTCTTGGTGTTTCACCAGAACTTGATAAATCCTCTTCTTCATTTGGTGATCCTGAATCATTCGTATCCTCTTGATCCACCTAATTTATATGAATTTTAAATTTACATTTCAGTTCTTTGTAACAGTATTGTCTTTAATTCAGTACCTCAAAGTCTTGTCTCGGGGTATCTTGCAGTAATCTGTCCCTTGCAATAGGAGATACTCTCCGCTTGTACTTCCTGTGAACTACTACCCAATCAGAAGTAAAACTTTCAATACATCTTCTAACATAAGGAGATACTGTATCCCTAAAAATTAATTGTAAGTTTTTATCGTGCACATAAGAAAGTTTCTTTTCAACTGTCAGGTAAAACAAGTCTTACAAGGATTCATGAGGGACAATTGGTTCTTCCGTTCGAATCTTCCTGTTTATTACTTTCAGTTCAACATCACCAGGTGGAAAATCTAATATGGACTTAAGAGGATCTCGGTCTAGAACTGATTGATGCTGTGCTAGAAATTCTTCGTAGTCTAATGGCTCTAGCACCTCGCATAATGACATCTTTAAAAAGTATATGAAATATTTAAACAACATTACAGAATATGAGATGCGTTGAATGATGAAAGTATATACCGTTGAAGAAAAGCCTGAGAACGTGCTGCCACTCTTAGACAGATCACGCGAATATGAGGTAGAACTAGCAATCTGACGTCTAACGTCAGCTGCATGCTGTTTACTCAGTTTCTGAGTAAAAGCCCGTTGCACGGATGACATTATAAATGTCGTGGTAAAATATTCCTTTGATGAAATCCTAGACATTTCATGTGGAAATAATAAGAATCCAATATGAGATAAGTTATAGATGCATCTAATACTTGTGATGTAACATCAACAATCACAGATAAACTGTTTCAAACATATTCTTTATTGCTAATTAATTACATAAAACCATGCATAACATTAAAATATTCAACAAACAGAAACAAATGAGGTCTTCATTATGAAAACAGAAGACTACACTCACGTGGCTTTATATTTACTAAAAGTCCATTGTGTAAAAAAAACTATAAACACATTTAAGTCAATACTCCAATATTTTGACAGTTCTTGTCATAAACCTTTGTTCCATCAGGGATGTGCCTTCACCACGCCAAAATTCCCATTAACACCATAACAGTACTTTATAGAGTGGAAACCCCTGCAGAATGTCGATAACTGCCTGCCCGATATCTGGCGCAACCTTACGGTCGTGAACCGAAGCTTCTGTAATTAACTCTTCTTTTTAATTATGACGTTATGTGTAATTAAAAAAGATGACATTAATCAATAACTCTGCTTTTGTTACCGAGTTTTTGTTCTAAAAATATGATTAGTAAAATTGATTTTTATTTGAGATCTGATTTTAAACTTTGTTGGAATATTGAATATTTTTTATAAAATATTTAGTAGAATTATGGTGTTTGTAATTGCAAGATTATTGTTTAAGTATTTTTGTTTTGACGTTACTAAACTTGCAGCTTTGGTTATTATCTACGTAACGGGTGTCCTCATAAAATTGTATCCTAATTCACACAGATTAACACAAGGTTACTACAAAATTACAGTATAATTTTTTAATTGTTGCATTTACAGTAGTACATTTATTAATTACAGTATTTCTAAAAAATGCTTGAATATTTTTAAACAAATGTAATTTATGACAAATCTGTGTTCATACAGATCAGTCTTTTTTGTGTCCTCTTTTCTGGGTAACCCCAGTTCAGTTGAACTTGACTGCGAAGTGTGCAAAGTTTATATGTTTGACCCTCTGAAATCTGAAGATCGTGAGATTCTATCCTCTTTGCAAGTACTTATCCAAAGGAAGCTTACGTTGCAGCGTACTCGCTTTTAAATCATCCAATTTGCATGGCCAATAAGCAACCTCGCTCCAGCGCGTTACACATCATCAGGACATTTAGCCGAAGATTCTAAGGCGGAGGTCGCGAAGGGGCTAATTACTATATCGATTTTCCGTGGCGGAACGACGAGATCGCAATCACGTTTTCTCAGGATCAAAAACGTGAAACATCGTTACAACAGCTGACAGGATTTTTCCAGCCATACGAATATTTGTAATTATACCTCATGCGCATATTCATACGTAACGTTCATAGCTAATATGAATATTCGTACCTAATATGCATAGCTAACACGAATGTTTCTAATTAACGCATTCCTATGGAAATTGCAGCGTCACGAATGTTCAGCGTGTTAATAAAATATGAATCGCTTCGAAAACACGGTCGATTACATTGAGAAGGTATTCAGAAAAGTGGGGAACTAAACGGGCCGTTTAATCGATCCACACACGGATATACCGTCGATGTCTTATCAACGACAGGAAAACGCAAACTTCCCCTCGGAAAGTTCAAAGTTGAGAATGTAGGTCAGATAGCGGTGCGCGGAGCAACGTCCTCCGTATTCTTTACGACGTCGTGTCGCACAGTTTCGCAATGCATTTTCTATCTCTCGCCGGCGACGTCCTCGGGCCCTGTCGAACGAAATCACGAAAGAATTATCGAAGCCGAGGGGAAATCGGAAAATTGCATGGCTCGAAAATGGCCTGAATCACGGGAGTTATCCGGTTCCCTTTTATGCAAGAAACAACTCGTTATCCGCGTGCCATCGACGTGGTTCCAATCGCAAGTGGAATAACGAAGATCGAGCCCGTTCGAAGGAAATAGAGCGTACGCTCGTCGACCGGTCTTATTTTAATGAGGCACTTTGAGCAGCAGCCGCGAAACGACGGACAAAAATGCGGCGCACACGGTGAAACAATCTTCGAATTGCATTAAGGACACACTATCGAGAGGAAAGAAAACGAGGGATGACAGTTCGCCTGGCTGCGTCTGAACAATTTACGTTTTCATTGGAACGTAAGCTGCGTTTAAATTAAGGATATTTATTTTTCTGCTTTGTTGACGGGACGTGAACAGACTCTTTTGGTAATTGGCGATTATTTCGAGGGGATTTTATTGGAGATTTGACCTGATTTTTAGAGATTTTAGGTTTTTAGGGAGAGTCTAGAGTTGGAGGTTTTAAGGAGGTTCTAGGTAGTTACTGGAGCAAGACTAAGGACTTCAAGAAGGTCTTAGGGACTTTAGGAAGGTTGTAGGGAGATTTTTGGAAGGTTCTAAGAGCAGCTCAGGTGGGACCTAAGGACCTTCTAGGGAGATTCTAGGGAGATACTTAGGAGGTCCCAAGTGGGACTTAAGGACTTTCTGAGGAGATCCTAGGTGGATCCTTATGAGATTCTAAGAGCATCTCAAGTTGGACCTAAGGATCTAGTAAGGAGACCCTAGGGAGATACTTATGAGATTCTAATAGCATCTCAAGTGGAACCTAAGGATTTTCTAAGGAGATTCTAGGTAGATCCCTAGGAGGTTCTAAGAACATTCCAAGTGAGACTTAAGAATTTTCTAAGGAGATCCTAAAAAGATACTTAGGAGGTTCCAAGAGTATCCCAAGTGGGACTTAAGGACTTTCTGAGGATATCCTAGGGAGATCCTTATGAGATTCTGAGAGCAACTCAAGTTGGACCCAAGGATCTGGTAAGGAGACCCTAGGAATATTCTCAGAATCTTTCTAAGAACATTCGAAGTGGAAACTAAGGAACCTAGAAATCCACCTTGTAAGGATGGATCTATGGTCTTAGAAAAATTCTAGATAGATCTTAGAATGTCCCAAGGAAGACCTAGATCATAGGAGGACCCTATGAAGATTTGAAGGACCCATATTCTAAAGAGCTCATGTTGAGATTCCAGAAAATATCTAGGAAGATACTAGAGTGATCCCAAGAAGATAGAGAACTCTGGAGAACCCCAGGTAGATCATGTAAAGATATCCCTATGGGTAGGATGAATCTAGGGATATTCTGAGTAGCTTCTATGAAGGTCTCAGTAAATATTTAAAAAGATTCTACATATCCTACGAAGACATTAAGGAAATTTCAGGACCTAGGGAACCCTAGGAAACTTTAAGGAATGAAATATGGGGCACCCTAGAATATCTAGGCAACAAAAGAAAAACTACATTTTGAGATTATCTCACCAAGAACAAAATAGTCAATAAAAACGTGCTACAAAAAAACTAGAAAGAACCAGGAAGCCTAGGGACATTTCACAGAGTATAGAGAGTCTATTGAGAATGCAAGTACCATAATCAACAAAGAAAAGCATGCGATGCCGAAATATCGAAAATACGAAACGAGAAAGGAAATCGGTGCACTTGCCATTTTCGTGGAACTCCACGTAGTATCCCTATCGGGCCGTTATCAAAGAGCAAGTGGAATTCCGTTTGCCGGGTAGAGGACGCGAAACGGGCAGTTCCGGTCCTGTTTCACGCGAACGGAACATGGGCACGGCAGTTCCGATGGAAATGCACGAGGGAAAAATCGTGGAAAAGTTTCTGACGGTTCATTCGAGCCGGCACGCGGGCTCCTGGTTGCTTCCTTGGTATTCAGGGTAGCGATTTCGCGAATAAATTCCGGAAGAATGCGAAATTACCCGTGGAATGGGAAGTTTGGTGAGGAGGCTGTTTGAAGGAAGCGAACGAGCAGAAGGGAAACGCTCCTTTGGGCAATTCGCTTCTGGCAAACAGGGCCGAGGACGTGGCCCTTTTTGCCCCTCGATGACACGGCCACCTGCTGCCTTCGCGAGATGCCATCCGGGGCGATAGACAGTTACAGGGCTACCAATCGAACAAACTCTGCCGATACTGTGTATGGACGTGTACATTTCGAAGTGATTGATTTTGCTAGAGAAGTTTGGGAGGTACCTGTTGGGGGTTGGTGGATTTTTTCACAATTTTTCGTGCTGTTAATTTTCTGTGTTCTCATTTTTCTAATTATTGAAGTTTTTGAGATCTTAATTCCCTGACTTCACAAGTTTTCAGATTCCAAAATTTCTAGTTTCTAAATTTTCCAATTTCCCCATTTTCTAATTTTTCAAATTTCAAATACCCTTATTTCCCAATTTCACCATTTCCCCATTTCCAAATTTCCCAATCTCCCAGTTTCCCAATTTCTCAATTTTTCAATTTCTCAATTTTCCAATTTTCCAATTTCCCAATTTCCCAATTTTCCAATTTCCCAATTTCTCAATTTCCTAATTTCCTAATTTCCCCATTTCCTAGTTTCCCAGTTTCCCAATTTCCCAATTTCCCAATTTCTCAATTTCCCAATGTTAGAATTCCCTTATTCCCCAATTTCCCCATTTCCTAATTTCCCAATCTCTCAGTTTCCCAATTTCCCAATTTTTCAATTTCTCAATTACCCAATTTTCCAATTTCTCAATTTCTCAATGTTAGAATTCCCTTATTCCCCATTTCCCCATTTCCTAGTTTCCCAGTTTCCCAATTTCCCAATTTCCCAATTTCTCAATTTCTCAATGTTAGAATTCCCTTATTCCCCAATTTCCCCATTTCCTAATTTCCCAATCTCTCAGTTTCCCAATTTCCCAATTTTCCAATTTCCCAATGTTAGAATTCCCTTTTTCCCCATTTCCTAATTTCCCAATCTCTCAGTTTCCCAATTTCCCAATTTTTCAATTTCTCAATTACCCAATTTTCCAATTTCTCAATTTCTCAATGTTAGAATTCCCTTATTCCCCATTTCCTAATTTCCCAATTTCTCAATTTCCCAATTTCCCAATTTCCCAATTTTCCAATTTCCCAATGTTAGAATTCCCTTTTTCCCCATTTCCTAATTTCCCAATCTTTCAGTTTCCCAATTTCCCAATTTTTCAATTTCTCAATTTCCCAATTTTCCAGTTTCCCAATTTCTCAATGTTAGAATTCCCTTGTTCCCCATTTCCTAATTTCCCAAGTTTCCAATTTTCCAATTTTCCAATTTCCAAATTTCCTAATCTTCTAATTCCTAACTTCCCAATTTTCCAACGTCTTACCTTCTCAAATTCCCCAGAATCCCAACTTCTCAAATTTCCAAATCTCCAAACCATAGAATCCCCTAACCTTGCCAGTAACATCCTTAGCCCATTGCAATATTCCCTAGTCCACCCCAACATTCCCTAGAAAAAAATCCCTCTCTATTTCTCCAAAGTCATCACTATTATTTCGTCTCCTAAACGAAAAAGCTACCTCTTAAAAACCTACCCAAAAAAGAATTATAAATCAAAAGTA